CGTTTTTTTTTTTTTTCCCGGGTTTTTTTTTTTTTGGGCGGGACCCAAAAGGGGGTTGGAAAAAATCTTGTGGGGGGGGGGGGGGGCCCCCCCTTCGCGCCAGGGGGGGAGATTCCCCCCCGTTGGTTTAAAAAGGGCAAGGCCCCCTGGGGGCAGTACCACGGTGTTAAAAATTTTTTTGGAAGGAAAAGCCCCCAAAAAAAAATTTAGGTCATGGGTGGCTTTCTCCGGTCCCCAGGAAAGTAACCCCAAGACCCGGACCCCCCTGACCGGGAGGAGCCCCCCCTTTCGTGGGCCCCCCAAAATCCCCCCGGGCCTTTCCCCTTGGGTAAGGTGAAACCTTGTTCCGGAAAAACCCCGGGGTGCCCCCCCCCGGTTTTGGGGGGAGGGGGGGCCAAGGTTCAAAGGATTCGGGCGTGCCGGTTTAGGGGTCCCCCCCCCCCCCCCCCCCCTACAACAGACAAGTAGCCTTCGTGAGGACATTTTTAACTTGGTTTCAGTAGGGTTTACGGGCTAGGGTTCGGGATACGAAAACCCCCGCTCAATTTCACATACAACGCTTAACATCGTCAAGAACGCGGTCCGGGTCTTGGGGGGCTGTTGATGCCGTGTGGATATTGAGCTTGGTTTCAGTAGGATTAGGATTAGGGTTAGGGTTAGGGTTACGAAACCCCTCTCTCTATTTTACATATGACGCTTAGCACTCTGGCGGAGGTTGTCCCAACAGACATGTCGGGGAGATAGATCCCTTTCTGACACGAGGCACAAGGGCGATAAATGATCCACATATCTTTGACGCTGCGCATGCGTGAGGCAGGATGAAGACCTTGCTTTCTAGCGGGGAGAGCCTACAATTACACTATTTCGCGAAACACGTGCATTCTTCCCGTCCTCGCTGTTAATAGCGACACAAGGACGAAACACATGTTGACGACGAAACGCCGAAGGCAGCGAGCAACCAAACGAGGTCAAGAGTAAGAGGCATATCTCAGGCAAGATGCACCGTGTAAGACTCCACAATAGCCCTCCAGCGGTGGACAGCAAGAGCCGGTAGGCGAGAGCCAACAACCCCTTTGCCCATTGCCGGGGAAAAGGGATTGTGGTCAGCGGCTACAGCGAGTACGCCGAGCATTATGTGCCCCTCGTCATCCTTCTAGCGAGTTTTCACTGCCACATCCTCCCGCTCGCGGTGCCGAAGAAGAAAAGTCGCATGGCCGAGGACAAAACAGCACGGCAGCAGTGGCGAAACACCACGGACGGTAGAGGGCCCACAAAATCCTCTCTGCTGCTCGCGCGCGCAAGAGACCAAAACACACACGGGAAGAGCTAGATAGCTAGGTCCTTGGAGGGGGGCGGAGGAGCGGTGTGCTCTGCCTCTCACCTCGAAATCTGCCGCAAACGCAGTCCAGTTGGCGATGGGAGTGGTTCCCCACAGTTGGACCTTCCAGGAAAGCATGACAAGGGGGCAACAGCCGGAGGCAAGTGAAGCTTGCTGGAAGTAAAAAAAAATGATGAAGCCGTACGGTAGAGGTTTGTAAGTTGCGCGTTTGTGCATTCGATAACATCGCGTCAGCACGGCAGGAATACAACCCTATCTGTCGCCAAGGCTCGTTGAGAAAGAAGACCCTATCTGTCTCAAGGGCTCGTTGAGGAAGAACACCCTATTTGTCTCAAAGGCTCGTTGAGAAAGAAGACCCTATCTGTCTCAAGGGCTCGTTGAGGAAGAACACCCTATTTGTCTCAAAGGCTCGTTGAGAAAGAACACCCTATCTGTCTCAAGGGCTCGTTGAGAAAGAACACCCTATCTGTCTCAAAGGCTCGTTGAGAAAGAACACCCTATCTGTCTCAAAGGCTCGTTGAGAAAGAACACCCTATTTGTCTCAAAGGCTCGTTGAGAAAGAACACCCTATTTGTCTCAAAGGCT